TGTAACTATCTGGGTTTAAATTAAGAAATCAGTTTACTAAATTCCAGCTCTTACATTGAAGAAAGCTATAATTTTAAATAATTTCGATTAATCTGAACCTTGTATGGAAAAATTCACAGACCAACTACATTACCTGCCTACCAGAACTCAGCTATAGAAAAATAAGGTACCAGTAAAGACAGCCCTTTGCACAGATTCAGCAAGGAGGAAGTTAACCTGCCAAGATGTAACTGCTATGTAAGTGCACATGCATATCCCAATACAATTTATTCTCTTCTTCCTTCATCTCCCATCAGTGGAGCCAAGAGACGCCGTGAGCCCCACATGCAAGATGTATGTGCGTGCGGTTCTGTGCTCCTGGAAGGGGCAGGGCCAAGGGCAGTTGGCTATCAGTGTTGCCCGAAGCACAGTGGGCCCTGAAGCAACTGCTTCCCTCTACCCTCCCGTTGACAAGCCTGTTTCTCATCAAGAAAGCACGAAACACTCAGCTTTCACTTTTCAAGTGAATGGGGAGAATTACTTTAATTTGGTGCATTTAAAAATCTTGGAAGAGGAGTTTTGAGCGGTTGTGAAAAGTTACTGGAAAGTTTTGCTACAAAAGTACGTTTGTATCAACAGGCCCATTTGCTGAATAAATGCATGAAGGTACTGGGCAAAACTCTTTAGAAACGAACATTGGACAATGGTACCGAAGAGAGACGTTGTCAACAAACCAGAAATAATTTGCCTCAATTCGTTCCCCTGCTGACTAGAGAGATCTTGTGTGTGTGCTCAGTGGCATGACCGCGCGTGTAGCCGCGCGGCACGGGATTCAAACTGCCGGCATTTAAAAATGGCGCCGGCCGGCTTCATGCAAATGAAGCCCGGGAAATTCAAATCCCGGGCTTCATTTGCAAGTGCGGTATGCCTACATTACCCTCCTAGTTCGAATTAGGAGGGTAGTGTAGACATACCCTTAGTGGTTACATGACTATTCCCTGGAGGCAGGGCCGGCAGTAAGTGCGTTCCCAGCCCCACTCCCTGGGAGCCCCTTGCTGTCCCACACTGCTGCTGCCTCTGTATCAGAGGCAGCAGCACTGGAGAGCAGGGGGAGCCGGTCAGCAAGGGGATCCAGTTTAAAACCCAGCTCCCTGTGCAGACCAGCTGATAGAGACAACAGTGTGGAGTTGATGCTGGGGAGAACTGACTTTTAAGGTGGGTCCTCCCAGCACCAGCTCCTGCCTGGCCCCCTGACTGCCTCTGTAGCAGGTAGCACAAGCAAGGCCAGGCAGGTCTATGGAGCCAGCATGCATAGGGAGCCTGCTTGAAAGCTGACTCCTTGTGTATATCTGATCCAGCCTGCATTATCAGAGGCAACAGCACAGAGGTGCGGAAGGAAGGTGGATCCAGTGCTCGTGAGGAGCTTGCTTAAAGACAACTCCTAATGGGCGCCAGCTCCTGCTCTCCTCCCCCTTGCTGCCTCTGATACGGAGGCAAAAAAGGGTGAGGGGAGTGTGTGTAGTCAACAAGATTAACTGATAAACCCAGGCTTGAATGGGCAACTTTAGTATTATGGAAAAGTGATCCTGGAATATCACCCCATAAAGGTCCAAAATATCTTCTACATGTAGTAGAAGTTGGGCACTACTTATAAAACACAATATAGCAACGGATTTATAGGAAACAGCTACTTTCCCTTTACGCACGAACACAGTAATAATGTCTTGGATTTCTTCAGTGAAGCTACTCACTTTTAACATGCACATAATCCCGGGTGGCAGAAGCATGCTATATTGTGTATTCATAGCAAGACATCTTAACTTCCATTCCATTCTCTACCAGCATCAAGTGGTTTTGCATTATTGTGCTTCAGAGCTTTCCGGCCACTGGAGCAATTACGGATGTTAATTCAAAGTCATTACTTGGGGCTCCAATCCGAAATAAATAGCTGTGGCCTTCCCAGTAGATTTTTTCATGCAGTTCGCTTATTTCCTCTGTGAATCTCTCTTGGAATTGACAGTGTTTTTATTATGACAAAAGGGGCTGCCTGTGGGTAATGGAAAATAAAATGTCTCATGGGTGGGCCATATATAGAACCCCGATGGGTCGCAGGTTGCCCACCACTGCCCTAGTGAGTGCTTTGCCAGCTATGGCTCACTTTAATATAGCATGACCTGGTCACAACTGCTCCTATCTCTGGCCTGCCATGACCTGTGTCCTACTCCAGAGGAGTATGGGGGCCCAAGAAGCAAGTAGCGCAGAGCAATCTTTATGCCACCTTGGTATTTCCTTACAATAGGGGAATTTTCAACACCCCCTGCATAGCATACAACAGCCAGAGGGAATGCAGAGCATCTAGTCTTCCACAGGCAGAGCTGTTAAATGCGAGGGAACTGGAGACGTACTCTATATTCTGGAGAAAACAGCCGTGCACAACAAACCCTTTTAACCTACACAAAGACATAACAAGTAGCACAACAAAGAAAGAGCAGGGTCCGAAGGGCAAATATTGCAAACTCAGACCTCTATTTATCTTAGCAAATGGAAATACACTATTTTCAAAGGCATGGACTAGATTCACGAGTGATTGTCTAGCTGAGTAGGTGAAACATGCTAAGCAAATGTGTGTAATTACTTAAATGGAGTCATTTATGCAACTGTTATTATGATACCGAGGAGTTGCTGGGAATGCTCCACAGAGTAACACTGATATCATAATTGGCTTCCACAAAAGCACATTAATGCAGTCAGTAGGTGAAAGTGGGTCAGATTCCACTTACTAAGATAGTTCAGCATGCAAGGCCGAATTGCAAGGAAGAGAAAGAAGTTATGTGCAAGCCATTAGGCACTAGGATAAATGTTTTTTTATTTCACGTGGGAAGAAAGAGCTCATCCCTCCCTTTAGATCTCTGAATATGAATCCTGAACTGTTCTTTCATCTCTGGCTACAGTCATCCTTTGTTGGCTGCAATTAATGCAACACTCACTGGAAAAGAAAACATGGAAGGCTAAAAGATGGGAAACAAAGGATAGGAATAAAAAAATTATATAAAAATTTTTTTTAAAAGACAATCTTTCTAAAAGTGCACCAAAAGACTAAAAATAATAAAAAAATATGCACCAAAAAGTCAAAAATAAAGTTTTAAGCTAGCAATTTAGGAGAAAGATTGAATGACTAACAGTTAGCAACTAGCCTGAATCACACTTAGCCATCCAATCTTTCTCCTAAATTGCTAACTTAAAACTTTATTTTTGACTTTTTGGAGCACTTTTTAAATTATTTATAGTCTTTTGGTGACCTTTTAGAAAGACTGTCTTTTTAAAAAGTATTTTTGATATAATTTCTTTATTCCTACCCTCTTTAACCAGTTTTTCCTCTTTTAACCAGTTATCAATGCATGAAAGGACATTCCCTCTTATTGCATGACAGTTTACTTTACTTAAAAGCCTTTTGTGACGTACCCTGTCACAGGCTTTCTTGAAATCTAAGTACACTATATCCTCTGGACCCCCTTTGTCCACATGTTTGTTGACCCCCCCAAATTCTAGAAGATTGCTGAGCCATGATTTCCCTTTACAGAAACTAAGTTGACTTTTCCCCAACAAATTACATTAATCTGTGTGTCAGATAATTCTGTTCTTTAGCTTCAAACAATTTTCCCAGTACTGAAGTACCAGCCTGTAATTGCCAGGATCACCTCTAGAGCCCTTTTTAAAAAATTGCGTCACATTAGTTATCCTCCAGTTATTTGGTACAGAAGATGATTTAAAGGATAGGCTACCAACCACAGTTCGTAGTGTTGCAATTTCACATTTGAGTTCTTTCAGAACTCTTGGATGAATGCCATCTAGTCCTGGTGATTTGTTACTGTTAAGTTTATCAATTTATTCGAAAACCACTCCAAAACATGTCTGATCATCTCTGTCATACCTAAACAGCTGAGAAATGATGGGTCCGTTCACAGATGCACTGAACAGAAGATTGGTGCAGCTGGCAGTAGAAGATGGGCAAGGATGGCTTTACACTACATTTTACTGCCTTTCCTGATCCTAGGACTGTCCCCTGATACAAGCTAAGGCATCCACAGGACTGATATAATTTGCACCAACTCATATTGGCTCTAGTGGCTATCACTCAGGTGAAATTTACTAGAAGCAGCGGGCTCTGGCCCTTGGAGCACACACTTTTGGCTCCTACACCGGGAGGGAATGCTGTAGAGCCAGCTATACCAGCTTTCTACCAGCTGAAGGTCCCCCCTTCCCCACACACTGGTGGAATCCTATTTAAGACAAGCTTATGGCACTTTTGCACCTCTCTGGTGGCATAAGGAAACCCTACATGGGGCCTAGGAACTGCCCCATTCCTAGAAGTAACCTATAATCATTTAAGTCTCTCTTATGCAATTTGAGACTGAGCTGTGGATCTTTTCATATTTGCAGAGCAGCATCATGTAACAGTCATAGAAACCACAGGCACAATTGACCAATTTGACAGCTAAGCATTCAGTCGCTCACACTGTTAACACGTGCAGCTGGGGAAATGGTATATGCAACCTATGGTTTTATGGTATATTTGTATTAGTTGTAGAAGCAGACATAGCCCAGATTTGGGTTTTCATGTTAGTATGTTTAAAACCAAATTAAAATAATTAAATAAAATCAATATGAGATCATAGCAAAGGGAAGTATGTACATCTGGAATAAGCTTTTGTCTGTAACATTCAATGTGAATTCTCAGCTCTAATGTATCCTCTGTGCAGGGAACAGAAAGTTACAATAAACTAGGCCGTCCTCTTACAGTAGCTGGGAATCAATACTCAGGCACTTGAATCAGCAATTTCCTGACTGCCAGTCAATCTCATAAATGCTGTACTCTAGCTCTGAGCAAAGGCCACAAAACGAGTCACTTGATTTACAGGCCGGCATGGAGAACAAGCTGAAGGACATTATCGCCATTTGCAAGTGGTGTTAAACTTAGCTCTTGATATAGCTTCTTGCACTCCAAGCTAAATATGCCTCACCTGCCCAAGCTGTTCACAGGCAGTTTGATACTCGGCTCGCTGGCAGAGATCCTTCACACGCTGGTATTTTGGCAGGAAATTTTCTTCCTGAGCATCCACCTTCTCATTCTCTCTCTTATGCAGTAGTTTACTGGGGGAGAAACAAACAGTGCATATCATTAAGACACACTTAAAAAGGGCCATAATGGGTCAGAACAAAGTTCAATCTAGCCTAATATCCTATCTGCCGACAGTGGCCAATGCCAGATGCCCCAGAGGGAGAGAACACAACAGGTAATTATGTAATCCCTCTCCTGTCATCCATTTCCAGCCTCTGACAAACAGAGGCTAGGGACACCATTCCTACCCATCCTGGCTAATAGCCATGGAGGGACCTAACCTCCATGAATGGATCTAGTTCTTTTTGAACCCTGTTAAAGTGTTGGTCTTCACAATATCCTCTGGCAAGGAGTTCCACAGGTGGATTGTGCACTGTGTGAAGAAAACCTTCCTTTTGTTTGTTTTAAACCTGCTACCTATTAATTTCATTTGGTGACCCCTAGTTCTTGTATTGTGGGAATAAGTAAATAACTTTTCCTTATTCACTTTTTCCATATCAGTCATGATTTTATAGACCTCTATCATATCCCTCCTTAGTCTCCCCTTTTCAGAGCTAAAAAGTCCCAACCCTTTTAATCTGTCTTCATATGGCACCCATTCCAAACCCCTCATCATTTCTGTTGCCCTTTTCTGAACCCTTTCCAATGCCAATGTATCTTTTTTGACATGAGGCAACCATATCTGTATGCAATATTCAAGATGTGGATCTTATACAGAGGCAATAAGATATTCTTTGTCTTATTCTCTATCCCTTTCTTAATGATTCCTAACATTCTGTTTGCTTTTTTGACTGCCACTGCCCCATTTCTAGAGACTCACTCTAAATACTGCACCAGGTCTGCCAGAGTGCCTCAGACCATCCATGTCGGTGTCCTGTCTCTGCCAGTGACCAAAATCTAATGCTTCAAGAAGACACTGATCCCACTCTACTTCTGCTTGTTCTGAAAATGCACCTGGCAACTAGGGCTACGCTGCTAATGGGGGAAGGCAAGACCTAGACCCCTTTTGGTGACCCCTGCTGCTTCCTCAAGAGGGATATCTGATTAACCCAGTAAGAGCATGAGTAAATACAGAGCTGGGTACACATGAGAATCCTACATCAGGATGTCCCCACACTTTGTGGAAGGAAGCGTTTCAAAATCCAGATCCCAAACTCAGAGCAGAAGCTTGGTTCACATCGTTCTCTAGCTATGAGTGTTCATAAAATGAGGCAGTCCCTTAAAAAAACCCGGTTGACCACACTGCAAGCCTGATCTGCAGAGGTATGGGCATGATTTCACTGCAAGGGGTGATGCAGGGAACCCATGAAAGGTTACTGTACCCTCCTGAACGCCACAGGGAGCAATACTCGGCAAGTGCTTAGCATACATCCTTGTGTGTGAGGGCAGAGGGGCGGGGCAGCAGGACACATGGGGGCTTGGACAGTCAATCTGCAGCTAGGAAGATCCATTCACATGCAGGCTATGGGAGCTACTCCCATTCTGTGGCTTGTATGGAGGGAGGAGGGCAAGAATTTCATTCCTCTCCACCACACAGCTGCCAGCGCAACCCCCATGCACAGTACACTTACGCTGGCCATGTGCTGGGACCAGGGCTAGCACAAAGCTACCACATGTTCTCTTCTACCACAGAATCATTGGCATTAGGGGTATTACAGCAATGCCACTCCCAGTGCAGGGAGGTAATCTTAGCTGTATGATTTCACAGAAAGCTCCAGTCATGTAGGGATGCTCCTGTTTCGCGTGACTGGGCTCTGTGATTAACGCTTTCCTTACCCTCTCTCCACAAGGAAGGAGTCTCTCCACACTTTCATCTTTTTTTTCAAATGGAACCTAGAAAAACAAAAGTCTCATGAAAAGCAAGCTATGCCCCAGCGACTCTTCTTTTCCTCCCCACTGCTCCTCCAGAAAGATTACCTGCTTCTCCTGTGGGAATATGTAACTGCACAACACAGACATATATGCATCATCAATGCAAATCATGAAGGAATATAGGATGGATTCACTCTCACGGGGACAAAATCCACAGTGGAGCCACAGAATATAGTCACTGTTCCTATATAAAAGCCATTGCTGCACTGAGAGATTAAGTGATTTGCCCGAGGTCAGAAAGGAAGTGTGTATTTAAATTTAGATTTTCTGGAACCTAGTTTAGTACCTTGTAAAACCACCCTCCTGCCCTGACAAAACTCCTTTCCTGACCCAGCTGCTCTTCTCTACCCCAAGAACACATCTTCCCAAACCCTCTTGTCTCCTCCAGTTGCTTTTTCCTCAGACTATTCTCCCTCACAAACACCAATGTGAATCCTCCCAGCATTTTTAAAGTGGAAAGCTTGAGGGAAAGTCTCAGAAAATAATTATGTATTTCCAATATAGCAATATAAACAACATAAAGTCTGAGTTTATAGAATGCACTGATATACAATTAGTTTTTACAGTTTAAACAACAATAAAAGTTTTGTTTAAAAGACACAACTATCAAGGATGTCACAGACATATTTAAAATCTACAACTCATGCAAATAGAAACATCTCCAGCCATGACCAAAGGCTAGTTTGCACTCACACACATTGTGTTTTGCTATCAGGAAGGCACATACCATACAGCATATATCTAGATCTGGCCAACTGAAATATTGAACTCAGTTAAATTGTGCAGATTTTCTTGTGAGTATATATCTGTAATTCATTCTGCCCTGGTCCATACTAGGATTTTATTTCAAAATTATACCCCCCCAGGTCGAATTTATAAGCGGAGTGTCCACACTACCAAGCCCGTTATTTTGAAATAACAGGCCACAGAATTCAAAATCTCTTTTCATCAGGAGCGATGCTAATTTTGAAATAGTTATTTCAAAATAACGGCAGTGTGAACGCCTGGGTGATGCTATTTCAAAATAACTACTCTCAAGAGTAATTCAAACTAATTACTCCCCGGTGCTTCCAGGGGCTCTAAGTTGGAGGCAGCGTTTCCACATTGATGGAGTCTGCCCCAGACTAATTTTTATGCTTCCCCATAGTGAGGACACGCTAGTTCAGATTTGTTAAATTGGACATTATTAAGCTGAATTTAGTAATTTTGGAACAGTTTTCTAGTGTAGACATGGCCCCTGTGTCCCCTTAAATTTATCTGCAGCTGGCTGAACGACACACAGAAACATGGAGACAAGTACACTTCTTTACCTATTAACTGGTCTCTCAGAATCCAGCAGTTTTAGAATGGATTTACCATCCATGTCAGGTGGAATGTCCAACCCTGCAATATCTAGAATTGTAGGAGCCAGATCAATGTTCAACACAATGTGAGGATTCCTGAAATAAATATATAAAGACACCGTTTAGAGAACCTTTGAAGAAATTGTGAACTACCTTCACCCAACCCCTCCACACAGGATATGGGATCTGAAAAAACTTCATCTGGGACATCAGCCCAGAATAAAGGGAAATACAACCTTAGCAAACACAAAACACAATATTGAAAGGGATTAACATACACAGTAATACAATATTCAAATTACCCCCACGCGCATAACCCCAAGCAAAGCTAATGTGAAGATTTAGTTCTAAAGCAATAGCATTTCAGACCAAACATAAAAAATAGTTTATAAGGAAAAACAAGTTAACGATTAAAAGGAAGGTTTCAGCACCATTCTGGGATGTGAAAAAGCACATGATAAAACTCCTCTGGGCACTTAGAGAAATAATGTGCAAATCATCTATTGTGGTGATTTTATTAAAAATAAACCCCTGGGAGACAGAACACAAACTTTGTCTATTTCAACATATATCACAAAAACAAATATTTGGGCCTATGGCACTGAACTGTA